CAAAGAAAGGCTAAGATTTCATTTTATAGCACATTAAAATCCCCCCAGCTTTCAGGAACTTAAGTGGTCCTTTAACCCCTCTTATTTTTTACCATCATGGATGCAGCAATATTCAAACTTTCTGAAGCACCTTCAGCTTATGTACGCCATTGTTTTTTGTTCACACTCATACGGTGTTGCATATTGAATCCTGTAGGATATTGTTATGAGCTATATTTTTATGCAGTAATTTAGATGTTAGCTAGAGGTCGCTTCACGTTAAGATCACGTTACTCGAAGAATATTCGAAAATATTAATGAACGAGAAGCTTTTGGAAATATGTAAGACAGGGATTAGATTATAAATACGAGTGAGCTAGTTAATTGGCTAAGTGATCTTGCAGTTAAACAATGAAGCTTCAAGAAGGTAAAGAGTTATTTTCTACCTAATAGACTGAATCAGTCAGTATTTGGATTTGTGTTAGCTGTCGTTCATTTTCAGTTACTTTGTTGATTTATACATTAATATAGTGCTGATAGTGTTGCTAAAAATGTAAGTCTACAACAAGTTACATAGTGTACAAACCTGGAAAGAAACGTTAAGGAAGAAATAAAACCAATTTGTTATTATTACATGGACTGGACTTTGAATTGTTTTACCCGATAAGTTAAAAGTAAACGTCAACGAGAGAGTAACACTAATGTTAAAATAAAATAGAACTTTGAATGTTCATGAAATTGCTTCAACTGTTTAAGATGTTGACTATACGGTTAAGTAGTGAGATCCAATCTTTATTAGAGATGTTTGTTTGTTTTTAATTATGCACAAAACTACACAAGGGCTATCTGAGCTCTGCCCACCACGGGTATCGAAACCCGGTTTCTAGTGTTGTAAGTTCGAAGACATACCGCTGTGCCACTGGGGGGCTATTAGAGATGATGAAATTATTAAAACAAACCCAAGAAGAAAGAGATATAAAATCTGAAACTACTAAGAGAAAAGAGATAGAATATTAACAGAAGAACAGGAAGAATAGGACAGAAAATTAGAAGAACATGACAGGAATTTAAGGGAGGGGTTAAAGTAAAAGAAAGAGGGCCACTATTTAAGGAAGGATTAAAATAAAAAATAAACCTGATTGAAGGCAAGACCAATGAAACCATTATGGTATATGGAGAGTTCACAGCAATAAGATTGAAGAAGTATGGAAAGGCTGTAATGACAAAGTCAAAGAAGTACAGCAGTGACAAAATAAAAGGTTTGAAAAACGAATTATTAAATGCTAATATTAAAACGGCCACACCTCTTTTTGCACTGGCTCAGGGGTTTCAGCTTAGAACACTATCTGCTACAAAATATTGAAAGAAGAATTTATCTGGTCTAGACCAGTTACCAAGACTGATTTACCACCTGTTACTGGAGGAAATTCCTGAACTACTCAAGCCATGACACTACCAAGTCCAGTTCTGGAAATTAGGTAACCAGTTTATCATCAGCCAATCAAGAAACAAATGAACTATGACTGGAAGGTATCGTAGGAGTTATACCAGGCTCAGATTGAAATCATTTCCAGATTGAAAAGGTGCGATAGTGAGAAATAGGCTATTCATCTTGCTGCCCATTTAATTTAAAAAGAATAGCTTTAAAAACATTAAGTAACCTTCCAAGTGAGAGCCATAACAACTAACCAGCATTGGTAACCACCTCGTCCAACAAATTAAGGATGATGAACAAGAAAGAAGAATCAGAGAAAAGTCCTTAGCCGAATTTACAAAAGATTTCAAAAGGCTTTCTCAATTATCTTACATGGACGTTCCTCATGAGATGATTGATTTATTGGGATATGGCAAATTTTTAGAGGTCATAGCATCTGAAGATATGATAATTAGGCTGAAACATAGAAGGTGCACATCCTCAAGGAAAGCGCTACAGTTGACGATAGAACTAGAATTCATTAAGGTTACAGATGAACAACACAAGACACAATCTCGAAGTTATGAGACTTAATGATACTGTAATTTCGAATTGCATTGACGATGGTTTAAAAGAATTGAAAGTATTAGCTAGACAATTAATAAAACAGACCAGGGGAAGTAAACCAGAGAACAATAGATGTTTCAAGTGTAACTTGAAGGGATATATTGCCAGGAACCTGGTCATTACATTCAAGACTAAAGAAATCAACAGCTGTTATTAAGCCAAATAGACAGCCCAACCAGATAAAAAGAACAACACAGATCTAAAAAACTAGCAATAATTACTTGGATTTATGAAGAAAAGTTCGGCTGGAAACCCTCAATCTATCTCTCTAAAGAGAATGTATGTTGTATGTATGTTTGTAATTAAGCACAAAGCTACACAATGGGAAATCAGTGCTCTGAAGTTCATTAGTTGACGAAAATTGTCCAAGAATCCATGGGCTTATTCATGGAAAACCTTGTAATACCTTGTTCAACACTGGTTCTACAGATACATTAGTTTGACTCAATTTGATAATGAAAGGTGGGAAATTGCTTTTACAAACTAAGAATGCAGAAGAATCAATGCGAACAGCAGTGAATGTAAAGTTCCAGCAAAAGGATTGTTTGTTTTGAATTTCGCGCAAAGCTACACGAGGGCTATCTGCGCTAGCCGTCCCTAATTTAGCAGCTAGTCATCCCCACCCACCGCCAACTCTTAGGCTACCAACGAATAGTGGGATTGACTGTCAAAGTATAACGCTCCCACGGCTGAAAGGGCGAGCATGTTTGGTGGGATGGGGATTCGAACCCACGACCCGCAGATTGCGAGTCGAGTGCCCTAACTACCTGGCCATGTCGGGCCCAGCAAAAAGAAAGCTGGAAGCTACTCTTGCTGTAAGAAGTTTCTCTACACTTCATCATGTGTGGGAAATTGAAGTAGAGTATAAATTGGTAACTAGCTTCATGTGGTGAAAAGGATACGAGATTAGGCTGGCTTCAGGTAGCTTTACAGTCTATGACCAGTAAGTCCTTAAGTACTACATGGAAATCCCTACATCAGTAGTTCTTCCGAAAGTTTTGCTTATGTTGCCCAACAGTAGCTCAGCAGTATGTCTACTGACTTATAATACTAAAAACCGGTTTTCGATACTCGTGTTTTATTTGGCTTAATGAAGTTTCTATTCTATTAATATTGTTGCGTCAGCGAGGTCACGTGACTAGTATCACGCCACTCCTTCTCGAACCTTCATGAATTATCGGGAGACTACTAGATAGGGGATAGTCTGGTATATATATAAGACGTTCACAACGTGACGGGACAAGAGTGTAATGAGTAATTGAACTGCAGTCAGAGAGAATATTGTTAAACACGTGAGAAGTTCATTGATAA